GATGGAAGTAGCGGTAATGGTGGAGAATTAAAATCGAAATTTAATGTCGGTGGACAATCATAAATCGGTGTTGATGAGTGTTCGTAATTTGATGAGGAGGAATCGTAATCATTCGTGAAGGTATGTCCCGTCGTCGATGTCAAGGCTTCCAAGCTTTCAGCAAACATTCCAGTTATATCCAGCATTTTTTTTAAATATATATATATATACAACTATTTATTGACTTTTTTGCACGGAACAACTGTATTAATGTGTCGAAGGCAAATGGATACACCAAACACGCATCCCAGGAGAAAGGTTCAATTATATGAAGAATAAAAATACGAAGATTGAAAATCCGACTTTCGTTTTCGCCACTCTTATATATGCGGGAATTGCATCATACATTTTATGAATACCCACATGCAGTACGTATTATTGTGTCACGCATAATAATACAGACATATGAAAATAAACTACATAAAAAAAAGTATCTTTGATTGTACGCTCTCATGATCTGCTTGCGCTTGCGCTTGTAAGCTGCACCTCCAGGATGTACGACAACTATTAATCTGGCCATAGGAGGCACGATAGAGATACTATAAATATTAGTTATCATGAATAAAAAAGTAGTCTAAATATAGAATTAAACAATCTAAGTATAGATAAGCCACGGAATAAAGTTTTTTAATCCTTACATTTAAAAAAAAAAAAAAAATCATTTTTATCACATACCAATGGAATGTTATCAAATAATCGATTTTTTTTTTTTATAAATAGTAATCAGCAGTTAAGTAAATAACTTGGCGCCTCCGCAACATATTAATTAATTAAGGGATAGACTCTAATTATTGTATGGTGACATGCATGGTCTCGTAGCTAACTCTACTTAAAGGTAAACATAAATGATCCAACTGATAGAGTACTGGACTGGAATGTAATAATCGAAGGATAAACTGTACTGTTCTCACCCCTAACGGAAACCCGCTTATAAATAGAAATTAATTGTATCTTTTGGTACACATTTCTGGTTTTGTCATACGAAAGTTTAGTTGAATAACCTTTATAGAGATATCCTTTTTTACATTCAAAAAAAAAACAATTGGAAAATTTTAAGATTTGATTTGAGTCATTTTTTTTATCTTTAATTAAAATATTGAACAAACAATAATATTATATAACATACTTCAACAATACAATTGGTTATATTGTAATACATCCGTTTAAATAAATAATTATTGCAAAGAAATATAAAAAAATTATATTATATTAAACTTATTATAAATATTATCAAAAATAATTCTTATTGATAAAATAGTACAAACTACTGTATAAAAATAATATAAACTTTTTAAATCTTAAAATTTATTTATTTATTTATTATTTAAGAAGAATAAAAAATAATAATTTATAATTTAATGATTCCAATAAAACAAATATAAAAATACTGTATATTAATAAAATATATACGTATATATATATAATAAACCCTTTACAAATTAATAGTCTATTAGATTTTATTAATCAAAATTATTATATAATTTGTCTTTGTACTTTAATAATTTTCTTAATTTTATAAAATTTTTAAAAAATTATTATATATAGTTTCAAAATTATTAATTTGTAAAAACTTTATTATATATTGTATTTTAAAGTAAAAAGATTTTTTTAACCAAATAATAAAATTAATTTTTTTTTCAACTAGTGAAATTTTGCTTTTTTTTTTTGTGAGGTGCATCTCAAATTATGATTTTTATTAATTGTTGATTCACTTTTTAAAAAGTTAATTAAGTATAAAATTTACAATAGGGATATATTAAGATATGTTGCTATAAATATTGGCCTACACTATTTTAAGATAGATATATTCTATAAAATGCTAGTTGGAAAAAGTAGAAGAAACTATTATTTATAAATGAAGGAATAATCCTCTCTATATTAAAAGATGTAAAAGAGAAAAAAATTCAAATTTATTAAAGAAAATATTATTATAATAATTCTTTCCTACTAGGTATAACTGATAAATTATTAGTGATAATAATTTCTGTAAGTATTGGCATTGGCTCTACTCTAAGCCTATTGCCACCTTAAATAAGTCGCAAACTTAAATTACTCACTTCAGTCAAACATTGGCTACTTTGTAAGCAAGGCAACATGGAGCACAATTTCATTATTATCCCTTAAATTATAGGGCATTTTTTTTATAATGTTTAAAATTTTTTAACTAAAAAGTTGCTTTTCATTTATTTTTTTAAATAATCAAAATATTTTTCTAAAAATTTATATAATATTGGTTTTAATTATATATTATCTATTGATAGTATTTATTTTTTATTTACTTAATAAAAATTTAAAGTTTAATTATAAGAAAAAAATTTTTTGATCTTAGACAAACTTGAAAATTTTTTGAATTAAAGTTCATATAATTATAATCAATTTTGTAGAATTATTTACAAAGAATAATTTAATTATTATAATTTTAATGGTTTAATTATAAAAATTTTAACTTGTATTAGAAGCAAAGTATTTTTTTTACTTTAAATATACATTAAATTTTATATAATTTTTTATATTAAAGTTTTAAACACAAAGTTTAAAGTTATTTATTTTGAAAACTTCCAATAAAATTTTAAATATGCAGGCAAATTTGCCCGTGTTACAATTTAAGGGATAGTATTTGTTGTAATGTTATTATGATTGAGGTAAATGATTGGCATGGATAGTTTGGTAATCAGATTTAAGGTTTTTTAATTGGTAGTAATCTTTCAACTGTAAAAAATATTGATTTCAAGTTTGTGTTTAAACATGAGACAAAGTTATATGATATTTCCTAGTTTGGATTTGTTTTGGTGATACTATTAGAATCCATGTAAGGCACTAATCTCATACTCTCCCAATCTGGTAGGTTGTTGTGTTGTTTTGATTTAATAAGATAAATAAAGTATGATTGGTTATTTGTGAAATGTAGATCTTTAGATGGTATAAACTAATTTTAGTTTTTTGTGAATGTGAAGGTAATATTGATGAGGACTGAAAACTAGTCAGAAGATTATAATGAATCTGGCACTAGTTATTATCAGCAGAAAACAAAAACTCTGAAAAAATAAAATGTAGCCTCTTATAAATAAGATTGTGTTTGATTTTGTATATGGGTTGGAGTATATTAGATAATGAAGTACTTGAATAAGTAAAAAGGTTTTCCTTTATTTGAAGGTTGCTTACATAAGCTTCACTCAATAAAACAAAGGATTTAATCAAAAAGGTTTTTGCCTATCTCTAAACATTCACTTCTTTATAGAGAATTAATCAATCCCATGCACTCTGCAGTAAGCTAATATAAACTCCTCTCCTAGGAAAAGATTCTTGCTGACTATTTATTGTCTATTATTCATGTTGTTATTAAAAAAAAAATTTTTTTACAAATTAAAGTATTGTGGAAAAGAGTTTTTTTTTTTTTTTAATTAGCAAGATTTTGCTTAATATATTTTATTTAATTTATATATGTATTTCTTATTACAAGACTTACTATTTATAAACTATTTTAAATATATATTATATTATATCAAATTATTTCATATCAACTTGTTATTATTAACTTACCTTTTAGCATATATCAAAACTAACATATTAAAGCTTCATTAGTATTAGTATTATTATTTTTTTTTAATCCTTGCCGTCAACTTAGGTATCTCTTTATCACCTTTTTGCCAGTCTCCCGGTATTTCTCCAAAATATAGGGGTGATAATGGTCGGTCCTAAATACTTGTCTTAGGCCTAAGCCTCTAAGTATAGATAGTAGAGTAGAAAGTTGCTATTTCAAAACAAGCAGACCTTTGCTATCATGCCAGGATAATCATTGTCTGCAGCCACCACTACAGTATTTTAACTGTTCAATTTAGCCAAGACTTACTAGGATTTAGTCAGTAAGATATCATTGGTGGGATGAGGGTACACCAGTACATCAAATTCACCTGGAAATCGGATCCAGCCTCACCTTTCCTAATCTGACCTAGAAACACATACGAAAGTTACAATTTATAGGGCATGCAGTCAACTGTCACAAGTGTACCCCTTAGGATAGAACATCCGTGATACAAGCGACCTCCTGCAATCCCAACCGGATCCTTGCTATCAACAGACATGTAAAAATCTTATTGATAGTTGTGCGACTAATGGTTTTAGCCATCTGTACTTTTCCTTTTACTACTGGAAAGATTCCATGAAACTTCTTATTCCTTTTGGAGATATTTCCCGAGCAATACTTGATCAGAAAATTTATCAATCAGATCATCTATCTTTTTTGACCTATGAGGTGTAGTCTACCTATAAAGCTCCTTGATCGCTGGAACAACCCAAATTGCTCTCTATAACAGTTACAGAAGCAGTGATACAAAGTCCCATTTTAGGATATGTGAATTGCCCCCAGCTAGAGTTGAACCGTGGTTCATAGGTTAGCCCTACCCTGCCTTAGCCCACTGGACTATAACCAGGTAGGTCTTCATTAGTATTGTTATTATTATTATTTTTTTTTTTAATCCCACAATTAGGTTGGTGTCGTTTATTTATTTAATCATAAAGAATCATTACAAGTTGAGAATCCATGCAAAGTATAAATTTCCCCA